AAGGCCAAATCCTTTGACCCCAGAGCCTCTTTCCACTTTGCTATGCTGACTCTAATTTGATTCTCTCATTTTACTTCCAAGCCGTGGGCGGCAAAGTAATTTAGCCAAGGTCATTCATGTAATAGGCAACAGGGCTGTGACTAGATTCAGGTGCCCAACATTCTGTCTCCTACACAGCTCACCTGTAAGGCAGCTTTATGAGAAGGTATATTGCAAACCTAGTTGGAGGGAGGTCCTGTATTAGGAGAATCTATTCATGATGTGAAAACAAGAACAACTTTACAAGTCAAACCAGCAAGCAGTGGATTTAGGATTTTGCCATATGATGTTGCATGCTGTTCGATGAAGTGTCCAAATAAGCTCTCATCTGATCTTAGTGAAGAATGTCAGAGGGTAAAGTAGGTATTTTTTTTGTAAATATGTCAGAAGTTCAAGCATCCAAGATGTCATTGTTTTCCTCACTATAAGTAGAAGGCACAGTTCCTTGGGGACTGTGTAAGTAGAATGGCTTCAAATGCTACTTTGGCCCAAACAATCTGTTACCTGTACAATCTCACCTTGACCCTCTTTGAATGTAGGTAGGGCTAGCCTTTGGATGACATATGTTGTGTCTTGAATTCTAGATTTGGGATTGGGAAGACCTGAGGTCAAGTATAATCTCTGACACTTACAACGAGCTCTGTGGCCATGAGGCAGCTGGTGGCTTAGTGGATAGCATGCTGGGCCTTGAGACAGAAAGAACTGAGTTTAAACCTGGCTGCAAACCTTTATTAGTAGTATGATCCTAGGCAAGTCACTTACTTAATCTTTATGTGACTCAGTTTCTTCTACTGTAAAGTGTGGATAATAATGATACCCACCTCCCAGGGCTGTTGCAGAGATAAAATGGGTTAATATTTGTAAGTTGCTTAACACAGTGCCTGGAACATAGTTGGCATTTAATGTTTCCTTCCTTCTTTTCTTCCCCCCTCCCTCCCCTTCATGTCCCCTCTCCTCCCTTTCCCCTACCTCCCTTCTCTCCTCCCCTTCCCTCCCCTTCCCTTCTTAACCTTCTGTATTTTAGTTGACCTATCGGTAAATTGGAGATGATATCTATAGTTTCTACCTCACAAGTTTGTTTGAGGCTCAGATGAGCCAACATACATAAAATACTTTGTAAACTTCATAGTACAATGTAAAGAACACTTAGCTCTGAAGTCAGAGATCTAGGTTCAAATCCAGCTTTAGATGATTACTATCTTGGTGATCTTGAACATGTCACAAATCACTGGACTGGTGAGGTTTCTTGGGGCTCTCACTCTTTGATCCTAAAAATAGCCAATTTTCAGCTCCGTACTTGAAACCTTTCCAGTTTGTTTGTACTGGCAAGAACTTACACATGGTTTTAAGTATACAGGTATCTTCTAATAACTCCTAACAACCACCCCCTTTATTATTAAATAACTCCATTACCCATGAATATTGATTGTGTACCCATTATGGGTTTCACAACTGTAATCCATGTGAAAAATGACTAAAAAATGGCAAATGGAGGTTTCTATAAGAGACCACTGGGTTTGATGGTATTGCTGAAAACTGTCACTTTGACACTGTGAGCCTCAGTTGCTTTATCTGTAAAGAGAAGGAGTTAGACTAGATGAATAATAAAGTTTATTCCAACTCTAAATCCTATGAGTATGTGACTGGCATCATAGATCCCAGGGAATCTTTGTTTTTGTTGTCATTGTTGAGTCATTCAGTTTGGTCCAATTCTTCATGAACCCATGGACATGGACATGCCAATGTTGTCCATGGGCTTTTCTTGACTAAGGGAACCTTAAAGGCTATGAAGTCCAATCTCTTCATTTCACAGATGAGGAAACCGAGGCACAGAGAAGCAATTGGTCCAGGATCACACAGCTAGCAAGTATCTGAGATGGAAATTGAATCCAGGTCTTGAGTCTAAGTCCCTTACCCTATGTATTATATCAAGACATTTCTCAACTATGTGGCCTTTCACAGTCCTTTCCTGCCATGTCTTATGATGTTGGACAGTTTCTGGAGAGGATTGCTCTCTCCCTCCAGTTACCATCCTGCTTCCCCTTCATTGTAGCATAGCTCACACCCACTCCACATTCAACTCCAAATTCCCATAAACATTTCCTACCCACAGTGCTGTGCTAATTTGGAACACTTTGGGTGAGCCCACTGCTGGGAACAGTAATTCAATTAAAATCTCAGTTTTCAACAATATCATCAAACCCTGTGGTCTGTTACTTCACACCCAGCTTAACTGTGTGTTCCTGTCAGCTGCAGAATAATGAGAGTTCTCTAATTGGGGGGAGGGGGAGGGTATTACACTGAAAGTCTCAGTAATAGGAGTAATATGCTGAGCTAAGTACTTTTTCTTTGCCTCTGCCTCCTCAGGCTCTTCCCAGGCTGATGGGTGAATCTAGTCGGTCATTCAGCTCCTAATAACCACCTGCATTTTCTGTTAAATAACTCTAGTGCCCATGAATATTGCTTCTGTATACACTGCAGACTTCACAACTGTAGTCAGTGCAAAAAACAACTAAATAAAACAATGCCTTTTCCCGCTCAGACATGACCCTTGAACCACCCTTGCAAGCAATTTTCAAAAATCATTGGACCGTGAAATTTGCACATGCCCCATCCCCATCCCCCATTCCCTGCAGCCACCCCCTTTTTCATCTGGCCATATCTACTCTCCTCCCCCTTGCCTTACACAGCGAGGCTGGAGCAGACACCTTCAGAGTTCCCTTCCCCACCCATCAATGATTCCATACAAAATAAGATGTCCAATTTTTCTTTTCTTCCAAATGCCCCATTTTTACTCTTCCTTTCATCTTGTTACTTTCAGGCTCTTTGCACAGGCTCCTGGTTGGGGGGGGTCGCTTTCACTTCATGGTCCTCCTACCTCTTATTTCTGTCTGGGCAAGTCCTTGCTTTTGAAGCTTCCTTAATTGGCATCAGATCCAGACTCTGAAGGTCTGAGCTGTCCAGCATTTTGTCACCTAGAGACACAAGTCCCCATTTTTGGCGCCATCACCTTGGGATGACATTCTGTCCCTTCAATCTCTAAAGATGATGTAGCTAAAGGAGAAAGGTAGGAAATGAGGTGAACGCGGCTAGCCTGCCATCCTGAGGGAGAAAATTCTGAGGTTAGTAAACTATTACTCTGTCTTGGCTATGTGTACTTTGGGGAGAAACAGGAGATTAGTGTTTCCTGTTTTCCCTCTGGCACTTATTGCCACTAGAAAACTCAGTTATCAAAGGGTGCATCAGGAAGGAGCAAGGGAAGCCCAGGAGAGAAAAATTTGTTTGCTGGACAAGAATTATTCCATATGTACAATACTTACAATATATGTTCTCATTTGCCTGGTCTGACAATAATTTGCCTTCTTTTTTTCTTCTAAGATAGCAGTGATTAATTCTTAATAATCACATTGTGGAGTTTCACTTATATTCAAGAAAGTGGAGAACCTTGGAAATGAGTACTTTTTTTTTTATGGCTATCCACTTCAGTGGAACAAAAAGGAAATGAGATAAAAACAAACAACAGTGATGGTTGATGGAGACCCTGAGGCTCTTTGAATGCATTTGGAGGGTAATCTCAAGATTCAAATCAATTAACAATCAACAAGCATTTATTAAGCACCTGCTATGTGCCATATACTGTGCTGGCTGGGTATACAAAGTGCAAATTGGAACTGTTCCTGTCCCCAAGTAGTTTGCGTTCTATCCAGGGTAGCCGTGCATAGTCTCAGTTCAGGCTTTCTTCTTTCTCCTCCCCCATCCCCCAGGCCTTCCCAAGTACTGGTTGTAAAGGATGGATCTGTGGCTAAAGTGTATATGTGTATGAGGGGAGGGGGGTCTATAGGGGTGGGGTTCTGAAATTCCTGATTCCTCCTGAGCCTCTTGAAAGGAGGTATCCAAAGTGCAGTGGGCTCCCTCACATAACGGATCCGAACATAAGAAAGAAAACCCACACTCCTTCCTTCCTTTCAGGAATTCTGTACGAATCTCAGCTACACTTTAGGTAGAAGATGGAGAGGGTTGGGGCAAAAGAATAATCTCCACAGCGCTGCCTCCTAGGACAAGAGATTAGAAAGAAAAGCAAAGCCAAGGGGCAAGGACGGTGCTCAAGGAGACCATCACCAGGGAGGCTGTGGTGATATGTGTGTGTGTGTGTGTGTGTGTGTGTGTGTGTGTGTGTATGTGTGTGTGTGCATGTGCATGTGTGTGCGTGCGCGCGTGCTCTCATCATTTCTAAGACACAGATCGAGGAGATCTATCCCATCCCCCCTGCTCCCAGCCCCCTCCCCAACCATTCCTTAGATCCCCTACTCCCTGGGGAACAGTAGATCTGGAATACAAAGGGACAGACAAAGTGCACTTTTCCATCCTCTTTCCTCAGAGAAAGATCAGTAGTGTCTCCTTTTTGATCTCAGACTTGATCTTGGGGTTAAGTCAGGACAGCCTCTCCGGCGCTTGGGGGGGCAGGGGTCTGGACAACCAGAGGACTCAGGAAACTGACTGTCCCAACCTGGGCTGGAAGGAGGCAGAGGACAGGATGGGCGGGCATCTTCTCATCCCTCCCCTGCACTTTGCCAAAGCAGCTGTCTACAATGCTCCAAGAGCAGTGCCCCAGCTGCAGGCATATCCCAGGTGCTTAGTGGGTATCAACTTTCCCAGCGGAAATCCCTTCGCTGCCTTTTGGGTATAAACTTTTCTGGTATGGTCAGCTGGGGATGGGTGGGCTGGGGGAATTGGTGGTAAGAGTTCAGCATAGTGGGGAGTCAGGGACTTCGGTCATACCACCACCCCCTCCTCACCTCGCAGTTGATTTGCCCCGCAGCCCTCACGCATCTTCCCTTACAGTCCCCTCCGGAAGCCACACATAGGCACGCAGACACCCTGACACCCGCATACACAGACCTACATGCCACCCCCTCCCATCCTGTGTCTTACACACATATACACATGCACACGTCCCTTACCTGGCAAGCCAAGGCAGAGTAGGAGGCTGTAGTAGACGACCGGCACCAAGCCCAAGCCGCAAGCATAGCGGTTATGGGAGAAGAGTGAGCTGTTGGTGAGATGGAAATGTGTGTGCTCCATGAGATCTGGGGAGGGCTCTCCGGGGCGCACGTCTTAGCCGCCTCCCAGTCCGGTTCTGGCTTCCAGCCTCCAAGCAGCCAGTGCAGTGGCAGCGGCTGCTGTGGCTCTTCAGCGCCTCCTTCCTCACAGGACCTCCTTCTACCCCCAACCCCCGCCCCTCTCCTGAACTCCTTGCTCCTTCCCCACCCCCTCCTTCCTTTCCTCTCTGCCTCCTGCACCTGCCTGTCCGCACTTGCTGCGCCCTGGAGTCCTCACTCTATCTTCCAGATCCCACCCTACCCCCCAAGTAGTCTCCAGGGGCACAGGCTCGCTGCAGTGGTTTTTTAGGAAGGCAATAGGGGATAAGGTGGAGGATCCCCATTATCCCTTCTCCCCCAAACTGTGGCTGATCAGCTTCCCAGTGGGAATGGAGAGGAGATATCTCTTGCTTTTGGGGGTGGTGGAGGCACTTGATTCTCTTGTCCCTAAAACCTAGAAAGGGATTCTGAAATGTCTCTTCCTAGCCCCTTCTAGTCCTCAGAAGAATGGGGGAGCTGTTTCACTCAAAGAGCAGGCAGGCTGGAGTTAACAGGGAGGAGGGGGATGGGCTATGAAGGAGAAGGAGGGCTGAATGTAAGGACAAAGTGCTCCCTTTCCCCCCAGGAGGGGCTTGATGTGGGTATGACTTGTAATTTCCAGCAGAGGCTCAGGTGGCAATGAGAGTTGAACACCTCTTGTGTCCTCATTTTGCCTTCCTCTTCCCCCTTCTTTTCCCGGTTCATTGTGCATCCAGACTGTCTAATCTCCCTCCCCTGCCTCCCCCCCCATTCTTTCCCCTCTCTCTCATCTACACCAGGCCTAAATCTATTCAGGAGAAGCTGCACTATCCCTAGGCTTTGATCCACACTTGGCAAGGACAGAAAAATATCAGAGGTGTGTTTTGGGGTGTGGGAGTAGGAAGAGGGCAAAAGGTTAATAGGAAACCTTCTAGGAGACTTAGGAGATAATAAATGCCAAGCTATTGGTTATTTTCCTCTATATATGTACCTCCTGGGAGCCTTCCCCACAGGACTGGACCAGAGATACTGAGTCTGCCTGCCCTGGGGAAGGAACATAAGCTTTAGGAGCATTGAACTTTCACCACAGGGAAGGGGGGGAGGGAGAGAGAGGGAGATGTATGCATGTATGTATGTATGTATGTATGTATGTTCCTGGAGCTGCTTCCTTTCCTGTACATTAGAAGATGTAGGTGAGATCCCCACCTCCAGGGCACAGTAGGAGAAAGCTTAAAGGGGTCATGAGGCTTGGGCTTGAGACAATAGCTATTATGTTCAGTGTTAGCCCTACTTGTCAGTGGAGTAGGTGGTGACCTCATATTCACACCCCCCCCCCCCCTTGTTTCCCTGCCTAAAGTCTTACAATTTGAGCTACTACTTAAGGTTAATACACTGAATTTCTGGAAGGCTCTTGTGGAAAAGCAACATGAGCTGAGAAGGTTGGTCATAAATATACACTAAGTTTATCAGATTAGCAAATGGGTCCTCTGGCACCTTTTCCCAACCCCTTTACCCAGTGAAGTACAAGACAGTCCAGAATAGAGGATACCCGTGGGGAGGAATGTCCTTGATGAGGCATTACCTGCTGTGGCAGGATGTCAAAACTAATCAAGAAGAAAGTGACATATCATGGCATTATAAAAAGAGTATTAGATTTAGCATCAGAAGAGCTGGGTTTGAGTCCCAGCTCCAATACTTGCTCTCCATATGACGGGCATTGGGGAAGTTACTTTCTGACCATCAGTTTGCTCATCTGCAAAAATGGGGATAATAAAGCCACTTCACAGGGTTCTTGTGAAAATTGAGTGAGATCATGCAAGTAAGGGGTTTCGAAATTATAAAGTGCCAGTTAAATGTAAATTACAGTTTTGATGAAATTGTATAGTTCCTCCAGGAAAAGGAGGTAATCTAGTTTAGTAGAAAAAGTCCTGCACTAAGAGCCAGGAAAACCCAAGTATAAGGCCTAGCTCTGCAACTGAGACTTGTATTAATAACCTTGGACAACTCATTTCCCTTTGGTAGACCTTGGTTTTCTCATCTTTAACATTGATTTAATCTATGTTTGGCTCATAGTGATTGCTTTGAGCAGTTTACAAAACTTTTATTACCAAATATCTTTTTTTTCTTAAAAACTATAATTTTTAAAAAGCCCTCATTATTTTCCAATTGCTACTATCCCCTTTGTGAGTCCTGTTCCTCTTTGGATTTGATCATCTTTTGGATTGGATCTTTCTCTTGGGGTTCACTGTGTGTGTTCACATTGCTGCTGCACTAAGACTGTAGAAGACGCAGGGTTTTATGGCAGAGAATTCAGATATTTTACTGGTCTGCAGTAAGATTTAGGCTGGAGCAAAAAAAACCTGTGTTTAATGAGATAAAGTATTTTTGGTACTTGCTCGACCCTCCTTCTCAGGCATCACAGAATCCCATCCTATTAGAGGTGGAAAAGACACGAGAAATCATTGAGTCCAGTGTTTCCCAACCGAAATCTTTTTTTTTTTTTCGGGTTCTCCTGCTTTGACTGTAGCCAGTGTCATACTGAGTCCAAAGAGTATGATTGACTGAGTGGGAGGAAAAACTTCCAGGAAGTGTATGGGATATGATCATCTTGACCTTCCTTGCTCCTCCACACTCAGAGTCATAGCCCTTTGGAGTTGTGCCTTAGTCTAGAGCAAAGAGTATCTGGTCCTTAAGATCTCAGGACCATAGGTTTATAGTTCTAGAGCTGAAAGGGTAACACTAGTGGCCATCTAGTCCAACTTCCTTATTTCACATATGACAAAATTGAGGCCTGAGGAGGTGAGGAGACTTACCCAAGGTCACACTGGTATTTCGTGGAATCTGAACTTACATCCTCTGTTTCCAGAGCCAGTGGCTATGAATGTAAAGCCACAGATAAATTTCCATGTCACATCTTAAAATGAGGACTATCAGAGGCCATCTTTCATTTGTATTGACATAACAATAATAACTCATTTCTATAGTTGTAGTGGCCCAGATGACAAGTGGCTTTATAAAGGCTTTGGTTTCCACATTAGCTTTTAACTGCTTTACTGCCACTGTCATTTTTTTTTCCTCATCCCATGTAAGCTTCTGTTTGGTTTTGATTAAGTAGGACAACCACAGTACAAAGGGCCATGGCTTTATCAGTATCCTGAAACAACAGCATATCTGGTTTATTGATTAGGATTTATTGGCCTGTTTTTATATCTCTAACCTAGAGTAACTTATAGCAACTGTTTTCTAAAATGTTCTTAGGTGTGTTCATAGAATACCGTGTTAACACTTATAGTACCCAGAGTTGGGCAATTAGGTGCCACAGTGGTTAGAGCACCCAGCCTGAAGTCAAGAAGACTCATCCTCAGTTCAAATCTGGCCTTGGACACTTATTAGTTGCGTGACCCTGGGCAAGTCACTTAACCCTGTTTGCCTCAGTTTCCTCCTCTACAAAACAAGATGGAAAAGGAAATGGCAAACTACTCCAGTGTCTTTGCTAAGAAAACCCTAAATGAAGTCACAAAGAGTAAGACACGACTGAAACGACTGAACAACAATACCCAGGGATATCCAGGGCTTCATGGAAAACCATTGTCTTGGGCAGCTAGGTGGCACAGTAGATAGAGCACTGGCCTTGGAGTCAGGAGGACCCAACTTGAAATCCGGCCTTAGACACATAACACTTTCTTTTTTATTTCATTTTATTTTTTAAAAATTTATTTTATTAATTTATTTTGATTTATCAACAATCACTTCCCTATGCTTTTGATTTTAAAATTTTTCTCCTCCTTCCTCTCCCCCACCCTCCTCAAGACGGTGCACAATCTGATATAGGCTATATGTTTACATTTCTATTAAACATATTTTCACATTAGTGAAGTTGTAAGTAAAAATTAAAACTAATAGGAGGAACCATCAGAAAGAGGAAACAAAGCTCAACAGAAGAGAAAAAAAAAGATAGTGATTCAACTTCCATAGTTTGTTCTTTGGATGTGGATAGCATTTTCCATCACTAGGCCTCTGGAGATGTCTTAGATCCAAGAGTGGGTTCTTATCCCAGAAGCTGAGGTTTTGGGTTTATCAAATAATAGATAACAACATATTGTAGGATTATGGTTTTTAATCCATTCTGCTATCTGCTTCCATTTTATGGGAGAGTTAATCCCATTCACATTCAGTTATGATTACTATCTGTGTCTTTTTCTCCATCCTTTCCCCCCCTTTATGCTTTTCTTTCTCCTTTCTCCTTCCCCCCCACTAATGTTTTGCTTTTGACCACCACCTCCTTCAGTCTCTCCTCGCTTCTATTATCCCTTTCCCTTTTCTTCCCCTTTGCCCTTACTGCTTCTTCCCTCCCTTCTATCCCCCCTCCCTTTTCTTTACCCTTTTCCTTCCTACTGCCTATAGGGCAAGTTAGATTTCTATACCTAAATGATTATGTTATTCCCTTCTTGAGCCAAATCTGATGAGAGTAAGGTTCAAACAATGCTCACCCCCTCTTCCCCACTTTCCCTCTGCTGTAATAGTATTTTCTGTCTTTTCCTATAATGTAATTTACTCTTGTCTGATTCCTCCTATCTCAGTACATTTTCTAAGATCAGACTAAATCCACTTACTTGGATCCATTTAACCCACTTGATTAGATTTTTTTAATATTATTACATCAAAGTCAGCTAATATCCACCCCCTTTATGTATATGCCTTTAACATGGTGTTAATAACAATACAGTTCTCAAGAGCTGCAAGTGTCATCTTCCTTTGTAGGGATGTAGACAGTATGCCCTTATTAGCAACATTTTGCATCTTTCTGTCCCATTTACCTTTTAATGTCTTTCTTAAATCTTGTACTTGAAGATCAAATTTTTTGTTGAGCTCTGGTCTTTTTATCAGGAAGGCTTGGAAGTCTCCTATTTCGTTGAATATCCATCTCCTCCCATGAAAAACTATGCTCATTTTTGCAGTATAGTTGATCCTTGGCTGCAATCCAAGCTCCTTTGCCTT